CCAGCGTCACGCGGCCGTTTAGCCGCAGAGGGTTCATTCCACGACCGGCGTCAGGCAACACGACGCATCCAAGGCGTAATTAGTGTTTTCCATCATCCATTTATTTAATGAAATCATTTACCTGGTTAATTTTATCTGCGGTAGGGCGGGGGTATGCGTATGTGTGGACGGGAGTACTGTTTAACACTGCGGCTTTTGTGTTCTTTTTTTTTGTTTTGTTTTGTTTTTGTGTGGGGAATGGGCTTTACTGGTCCATTGAGCAATCATGGTAAGAAAAGAAAAAAAAACGTCGAATCTCTTTTAGTTTAACATATTTTTTTTTTTTGGGTTTTATTTTATTTCTTATGATGTGAGAGGCCCATTTTTGTCCTCTTACCATTTTCCTGCTTGACATGCCGCCTCTTTTGGTTCCGGATCGCTGCCCGTCCGTGCGCCCGCGTGTGCGGCATTCCCATCTTTTCTTTCCTCCTTTTTCTTCGCTTTTTTTTTTGTTTGTGGACCCACAGTCTGTCTCTCAAGGAATTGTTGTAATGGCTTATTGGTTTGGCAGCACGTGCCCTGTAAGGCGTGCCCCCAGACCTCATGGTGCTGTGCCGTGCCCCAGCAAGACGCAGCTGGTCCGGGCGCTGGTTTTGATGCCGTCAGCCCCGCGCCAACAACGACGACCCCGTGAGGGAAACATTGCTGGCTCCTGGCTTCCCCCGACAATACGGAGCAATTGGCCCTGGCACCGCGCTGGGGGGGCCGCCGTTGCCAGGGGGCGGTCTCCCGTTGGCCTCTTCGCTTTTTCCTGGAGAACGCCGCCGCCCGCTTCTCCGCGGCGCCATCGACAAATCTACGGGAAGGCCAACATGAAATAGACATCACCTCCGTTGTGGAGAGCCCCATGTTGCAAGTGGAGCCGGAGTGCCCGGTGTCACGCATGCTGTACTTCTTCAAGTCACTGGGAGTGCGTCATATCATGGTGTGCCGCCGCTCGAGGTTTGTCGGTTACATCAGCAAGAAGGACTTTGTAAAGTTTTTGCGTGAGGCCGAGCGGGAAGAGCACTTGAGGAACATGAAGCTCGCCACGACGAGGGGGCATGGCACATCGCGCCCGACGTCGTCAGCGGACGTGAGTGGGCAAAAGGTAAAAAAATTGCGTCAAGAATAAACAAAAGAAGGGGGAGTTGTGGTGCTGGCGGTGTGTATCAGGAAGGCGAAGAGTCAAGGCAAAAGCACATTTGTGTATGTGGGTATGTGTGTGTTGGGGTCCGCGGCTGCCACCACGACGACTCCGTCTGGTATTCCGTCTTCTTCTTCCCCCGCTGCTTTCTCTCTTGTTTTGCTTTGTAGCTGTTGTCCTTTTCTGTGTGCTTCTACGCCCTCTAGAGTTGAGGGGCGTTTTGGATTGGAAGAAAAGCGGCGAGACAAGCACACGTCAAGTACCCGAAGGGAGGCGCGCGTGACGGGGGGAAGGAGGCACACACACACACAGAGAGAGAGAAAAATTGAGAGAGAACAAGAAGGGGGGGAAAAAAAAGGGGCCTTGCTGGGCGTCTTTTCAGATTGTTACATGGAGCGGGGAAGGAGGATACGACAGAGAGGGCGCCGTATCAAAGCAGAAGGGGCGGGAGGGCGACACCGACCATACGGTAGGAAAGGGGATAACAAAAGGAAGGTAAGAGAAAAGAATTAGGGCACGGACACAAAAACAAAAAACAACCAAAAGAAATATATACGAACAGACAAAAGAAAAAAAAAAGAGGGGATAGAGGCGGCTTGTGTGTGGAACGGGACTGGCGTATGGGCTGCTGCTGCTGCTGTGGGAAAAAGGTTTTGACCGGCACTGAATTTGATAGAGGCGAGCTGGACAATGAGGATGATGGTACCAATTGCCCCTTGCTGTTGGGTGTGGGGAGCGCGGCGGGAGAGGAGGAAAAACAAACTCCACCAAAGGCATTATCGCCGTCAGAAATGACTGCGACGACCGCAGCGGTCCAACCAGCGCGCAATGTGTGGAACC